CCTCACTTTACACCAGCATTTCCATTGCACCTCCCTGCTGCTTCTGTACGACTAGGAGGGACCATTTAGCAGATGTAAAATTGATGTGTATGTTGCTGGTATTCCAACCTTTTCACGAGAGCTGCATTAATTGCAGCGATGTTTCTTCATGAGGTGAGCAGTTCTACTACTCAGTTTGGCGTTGGTTATGAAATATGTCCACTTGATACTCAAGAGCGCCGCTGGCCTTTCACTTAGGACTGCCGCAATTTCTTGGTATCTAAATCAAAACGGAGGCTAGAATTAAAAGCAGGACAGGTACAACGGGTACGGTGCTGTAAATGAAGCTGTAACTGCTGCGAGACTTGCGATACTGATTCCTTGACCAAAACAGTTAAATTAATCCTTCGCAACAATGCTCTTGTTTTCATCATCCGGTGAAGAACTGTTTGGTTCCAAGACAAATGAATTTATTAACCGTTTCCACAGTTTGAACATCACGGACTGAACACGTCTGAAGTATTTCGCCCCACGTCCACAGTCGACAGGCGAGTGAAAGTTGTTTTGCTTCAATCCAAACAAGTTTCGCAAACAGAGATCTATCGTCCGATCTTCTTTCCTTTATATTATTTTCTAATTGAAATACCCAAGCTTTGCAAAAACTAGTACTGCTTCATACATGGTCTTGACATTTTATGCCATTGACATGTCGAAACCGAGGCATTTCTGTGTTCTTCAATCATATAACCTCGTTTCCAGTACAACGACCGACTCTATGCATTCAACCCGATTGAAGCGAAGCGCAGGTACATTTAAATCGAAAATGTCATGATTTTGTCTGCAGATGCTGTGGACAAGTTAAAAAGGGCTCACATGGCAACGACAATCTGAATCTAGGTTATGAGCACAGTTGACATACTTAAACCATTTGAAGTCTTCATCTGTGTACTTCGGATATGTACTGCTATTATTCAGAATAAGGTCAAGGACAATGGTAAGCAGAAAAACTAAAACGAACCTTCAAGCTAGACTCAGCATCTGACGGATGGACAATAATTCAGGCGGTCTCACTAGTCGACGGTTTCATGTAAGTTTAAATCAAAGTTGAAAACATCTACCGCGATCATGACATAAGACATACTGAAGTAATGTTGTATGGTTTGACCCATACGTTGCCGTTGTATATGTTTGACACATGTCTGACGTTGCTGCAGTCCCCTACTCATAGAAATTAAATAAAACATAACAATAATAACTGTCTTACATTTCGAGCAGCGATGGTCACCAGTGCGCCAGTGAAAAACGTCACATAGTAACCTAAAGATTCGCAAAGCTGTCGTTCAGCCGTATACAAGCACGCAGAATGTAGCCGTACCTGGAAAAAAGCCGTGCCACCAAGCACTCACTACGTACGTCAGAAAAGTTCGATAGCGTACAGGCAAGCGGACATACATGATTTGTCGAAGCCACTGCATTGTATTGCAATTCCACGCTTCCAGGCACTCCTTCCAGCTATTCGCCGTCTAAAAGACGCTGCTGCAAGG